AAAATATTGACACCCAAGCATCAGCATGTATTAACTGTAGAAGAAAATATTCGTCGTGTGAAAAAACTAATCAATACATGAAAATATGAACAATTGATTAACTACTCAAAACACTAAAGACATGTTAAAGTTGAATATTTTCGGTGATTTTTCACGGGCCATCTTTTATACGATTCTGATTAATTCGAACGATTCAAATATATTTTTCTCTTTTTGTTTTCATTTGACTTCTAATTTAATTATATGTAAACACTCCTCCAATAAAAAATAGTTATATTGACATAATCAAAATGATGAATGATATTTTCTATTAATTTGTCGCAATATTGTAAAAAGAAAGAGAACAATTTACATCAATTAACACTTATAAAAAAACAGAACCATCCAATTTCGAGGAAAAAACCAAATGATTTTTTTCTGTGAGGTAGGAAGTGACAGAGAATGAATTAGACAGAAGCATTTTATAGCTTATTTTTTTTTCTACAAACACACCATTCTCCCTACCGTTCTACTCTGCTTCGCTCCGCCTTGCTCAAAAGTTTTCATCTAAAAAATATATTCGGAACCGTCTATGTGGAATAAAGAAATGGGTATGATCAGATCATTTCACAGTTTACTATCAAAATATGTTTTCCATTATTTCTGAGACTTAATTAATCTTCTTTGATTTTGTATTGTATTTAGGCAAATGAAGAAATCTCCGATATTTAGATCAACATTATCAGTTTTCTTCTTTCATCGTCTCTACCGAGCTTCATTTATCGATATTTATATATTCCTGCTATCCTATATCAAATTCAACATTCAGTATACTAAAAGTAACAAGAAACTTTTTTTTCTAATTATTTTTGTGTTTGTGATGAATACTTACCTATTCATTTATTTTTTTTGTAACATTCAATTTTGAACATGTAATTAAAATTGTTATTTAATATCTTGTTAAATAACAAAGAAACGGCAAAAGGCAGAAAGATTAGTTATTAGCATAGCATTTGTGTTTTCTTTATATTCGAACACGTCACAATACTGTTCACTCTAACAGTAGATTTAAACAAACGAGTGTTTTGGCATGTGACACTTAAAGATTTATTAACTATTCTATGTTCAGCTGCGATACCCATAGCGCTGGCTATTTACACTTCAATTGGATCTCAACAGCAAAAACGAGAAGCTGAAAAAACAAGACAGTTTGATTTGGAACAAGCTGAAAAACTAAGACAACGAGCACTTTATGATGAGTTTTTAAATAATATCTATAAACTGGATAAAGATGGTTATCTCAATGACACAAAAAATCCATGGGCATTTGCAAATGCATATTATCGTGCTGCTCATCGCCAATGGGATACAGTACGTAAAGGAGATGTTTTACAGTTTCTTAAAGAAAAACAATTAATTGGGAGAAATAATTGTACTGATGGATGTAAAACAACAAATTTAGATGATATAATTCGTTTGAATGAGTTAAACTTTGATAATGTACGTCTAACAAGTCAAACAGGTGTATTAAATAAGCTGAATTTACAATGTGTTTCTTTTGATCAAGTGTCAATGTCAAATGCAATATTTTCATCTGTTAACTTAAATGGTGTATCATTTGATGGGGGACGATTAGATAAGGTGCAATTTGATGGTTCATCTTTAGTTTGTGCTAGTTTTAATGGTGTAAATCTGTCTGGAGCAGATTTTACGAACTCAGATCTAACAGGTGCAAATTTTTCAAACAGTGATTTGTCAGGAGCTAAAATAACGGAAAATCAAAGAAAACAAGCATCATTTCATAATGTAACAATGCCAACCGGGGAGAACAGTGAAACTATATCATCAACGGCAACAAAAAAATCTATAACACAAACAACAACAATAATAAAAGCAATAACGTCGTCAACTGCATCATCATCGACATCAATCGGTGAGTAATGTGTCACACGAATCATAGTACCTTTTTTATTGGCTGAACATGCTCGATGGATGATAAGTAATTTTCAGATAACATCTCTCTTTGGATATTATTTTGAAAGTTAGTCATACCATAGATTTGTAATATTGCTAAAATAATTTTATTTATTTTTATCTTTATGTGATAGATTTATGTAGAATTTTGTACAGAATGAAACTTTATATGTGGATGTGAACCTTTGTATGCTGGATTTAACTTTTCTATATATGCTTAAAGGACTAGAGGTATTATATGGACTACAGTACGTTTTATAGAGCAGTAAAAGAGGACAACTTTTATTTCTTCTGAATCCCTCTTATTCAGTTTAAACTTTTAATGTAAACTTCAGAAAGAATCACTTATTCTCATTATATACTTCGAGGTATTCTCTATCTCTTCGTTTGAGTGACGAGGTTTCTCAGTGCACTCGAATAAATCGACCTATCATATGATTGGAAGATCTTTGTGGGATTCACTTGATATTACTAAAATACAATAAAGGTATGTTTTTAGTAAGGTTTCACCAAAATTATAGTCTTTTCTGATAGCTATATTTAGTGAAGACATACTTTAGTGATTGTTGGAAAGTGTCAGCTCATCTCAACATATGTATTCGTTAGAATATGTTTAGAGTGTCACAAAACTAATTTTGTATTGAAAAGATATTGTAAAGAATGATGTCAGATGAAAAAAACGAATACAGAATAGACAGATGTATTAGGTAAACCTGAGATTAATAACTGTACTAATGTTCAAATAGAATTGCAAAAACGATGTAAGTAGCGAGAATATAGAAGATCACGATTAGTCATAAACATATTGGAATGTTTTTATTGATTGATTGGTTCGCTTTCAGCTTAGATGAACTGTTGCAGGTTAAATAGAATTAGACGATGAAATAATGTTTTTTCAATGATAAAAACTATAATATAAATCTTTTTTTCTTGTTTAGTAGCTTGTGATAATACATTTCTTAATGAAACTATCTACTCAGTTGGTTTGCGCCCATATGCAGTAGCAGTTGCCGATGTGAACAACGATAGTAAACCCGATATTGTCATTGCAAATCAGGGTTCAGCCACCATCAGTGTTCTTCTGAATACAGGCAACGGCAATTTTTCTCCTCAATCTACTTACTCAGTTGGTTTACGCCCATACTCAGTAGCAATCGCCGATGTGAACAACGACAACAAACCCGATATTGTCACTGCAAATAGCGGTTCAAACAGCAGTAGTGTTCTTCTGAACACAGGCAACGGCAGTTTTTCTCCTCAAGTTGCTTTCGCAGTTGGCGCATTTCCAGAGTCAGTAGCAGTAGTCGATGTGAATAACGACAATAAACCGGATATTGTCACTGCAAATGTTAATTCAAGCACTGTCAGTATTCTTCTCAATATTGGCAATGGTATTTTTTCTCCTCAAATTACTTACTCAGTTGGTGTAAGTTCACGATCAGTAGCAGTAGCCAATATGAACAGTGATGATAAATCCGATATTGTCGCGGCAATCTCTGCGAAATACATTCTCCGTGCTCTTTTCGATACAGACAACGACACTTCTTCTCCTGATATCAGCGTCACTCCTTTTCCGGAGACTACAGAGCCTTTGCAAGCATCGACCACCGTAGCTTTGCAAGAATGGACCCACAAAACATCGCAAGTACCGACCGATGAAGCTTTGCAAACATCGACCCCCACAACTTTGCAAACAACGACTATCGATACGACAACGACTACGAGCACAACAACGAGTACAACAACGACGACAGAGACAACATTGACTACGAGTACAACAACGAGTACGGAAGTGAATGAGGCAACGATTGCGACTACACCAGCGAGTATGGACATGGCTAAGCCAATAAGTATGGGAATAACAGAGGAAACGAGTACGGAAATGAATGAGGCAATGACTACGGAGACAACAACGACTAAGAGTATAACAACGACTGAGAGTACAATAACGAGTATGCAAACGAATGAGGGAACAAGTTTGAGAATGATAGAGAAAACGAGTATGGGAGTGATTGAGGCATCGCCTTCGAGTCCATTATCGACTCCGAGTAAGACTATGAGTACGAGTATGACAACGCGTATGGTAATGAGTACGAATATAGCAACGAGTATGGCAATGATTACGACAGCGATTATGGCTAGGACTACGACTACGAGTACGACAACGAGTACGAGCAAAATCGTACTCGAGCATGAGTGCTTAGAGTACTTTGCCCAGCTCTGGTTTCAAACTACTTACGTAGTTGGTATGGGTTCACAATCAGTAGCAGTAGCCGATGTGAACAGTGATAATAAACCTGATATTATCGTCGCAAACTATGGTACAAACACAATCAGTGTTCTCCTACACTGTTAAAGTTTATTTCTTCATCTTATTCAACATCCTTATTGACGTTTCGTTAATCTACCGAGAACATCATCCCATTATTAACCACTTAACAATATGAAGCGAATAACAATATTCGTTCGATACCGAAACTTTTCATGAAACTTTCTCACTATCAATTTTTCACTTAAATTCATTCATGCTTATACGCTCAGCTTCTTGTACTGTTTTTTTTGCTCGAATCAATGGAAACCAAACTGATCCCATCTTTTGACGAAAAGAGTAGTCTGAGTGCATGGATGAGGATGTGATTGGGTGTGGATATGAAGAATCACATAAGTATCTACCCTCCTCAGATTTCGTAGTAGTGAAAACTGGTGAGAAGTACCAACTATTAACCACCAAGTGATTAGTTTGCGAGTTTGATCATATTTTACAATTATTTTTCATTATATGCCATTTATCACTAATAAATATATTCAATTGAACACTTCATTTCTCATATATTGCCCATACAAAAAATAATCGTAAGAGAGTTTGTTTAAGAAATCTACACCGACATCTCGCTTGTTATGAACGATAAAAGAAAATCTTTCCATAATAGAGAATGAGGTTCAATATAATTCAGACTTAATAATATTCTTTTTTATCATTATAAAAAGAGGAGATGAATGACAATTGATTTTTCTTATTGATTAAATACGCATTTTTTATTATATTGAAAAAGACAACGTATGAATCATTGATTGTAAAATATCAATAACCCATTGTTTTTTCGAAATAAATAATAGTATAATACTACATATTTTACTCAAATACTTTGTTTTTCTCTATTTCATCAATTAGTTACACAAAAAGCTCGTCATGTACAAAAAGAAAAATTACTTTTATAGACTCTTTACCATATTTCTGATATCATTTTTAGTTAAAACAAAAAAACGCAGTTTATGTATTAATGATAACTGTAGAAAAGCATGGATACAAATATGTAATTTTAGTACTGTTATACAATTTGTTTATATTTGCAATGAGTATATTTATTTATTCTTCGTCATACTTTAATTGTTACTAAGCTAATTGCATTTAAGTCCTGCTATTAAAATCATAACTTCTTATTTCTGAAAACAATATGGTTCCAACTGATATTATATTTTCATTTTTGTAAACAGTCAACCAATTAAACAACTTATGAATAAATTAAGAATGAAAAAAGTACTTGTTCTTCTTTTGAAACTCTTCGTTATTGCAGTTGATTTAGTTATACAATTAATATAATATATCTAACTATAAATAATCATCTATAATCTTTCTTCATAGACATCATACAATTTGTTAGAAATAAGAATACATATGTGTGTATTTTATGATAAGCATGAAGAAAACTATACTCTCTATGCAGATTTCTGTGTCACTCATATCATCAATACCTTAGATTCAAATGATTTCTGAAAAACTGAAATTATTTTGTAACTCATCGTCGAAATATATCTGGAAGACTCGTTGGTTCTTATCATATACGTTTTTTGTAGAGACATTCACACCCTATTTGTTTCTGTATAAATAAATATTTTAATCAGATAAACAATAACAAAGGAATACTTTGAATTAAAAAAATCTAATTTATTCTATACATTTGAGTGTTTTGTATTATTGATTATTAAAAAAAGAAATTATTTAATGAAAGATTATAAACGAATTTCATTAAACGTATTTATATTACGAATAAACTATTTTACAAACTAATCTGAAGTTGATTTCTACTCAAAGAAAGATCAATAACAGCAATGCAATATGTAATATCTAATGTACTATTTACTTCAGATTTTTGCGATATTATTATAATTAAACTATTTGATAATTTATCTTGAAAGTATGGGTATGAGTGTGTAGTCAGAGCGAACAGCCATATTCACAAATATACCGACACCCACACCCTTACTATGCGCAAATCAAAAGCCAATATTGAATAAAAACTTTTGTTAGAACTACAAAATATATTAAATCCTGCATCTGTTGTATGATGATTGGTCCATTTTATAATCTCATATATTTTTTATTTATATTGAATAGAATTAGTATACTTTAGAAACACTACGACAAATATCAAATTTCCATTTACTTATGAGATCCAAACAATATAGATATTGAAAATAGATAGTTTGATTTCACTGTTTTTTGTATGATGATATCTCTATTTTGAATGTTCAAGTAAATCGCATTTAAATCTAAGTAATGCAGTAAACTCAATCTATAATGTATTTCAAAGAATTCGAACTCAATATGAAATGATTTATGAGTTGAACTTTTATTTTTAAAAATATTCAAGAAAAATACTAAAGAAATTTAGTTTTTATAATATATTCTCTGTTTCTGCACTGTCAAACAGCAATACGACGAGGATTTCTTGCCACATGTTGAACAGTGGGATTTGGATCGACTGTTTGGATAGTACCCACTCTTCGAGTAAGACCAATTGTTCGACCATGAGCAACGGTAAAGGCGGGTTCAACACGACGTTGACCTAAGAAGACTCCCCATCGATAGAAAAAGTTGTCGAGACAAAATTGATACATGTCTTGGAAGGTGATCAAAACAATAGCAGAACTAAAAGTGTAGTTCAGGTAAACGATGAAGGTTGTGATAGCGTCAATGTAAACAGAATAGGTGAAGTTTAAAACAGATTGAAAAAAATCATAGAGAACCCAAGGTGACCATGTCACAAGAAACCAAATGAGAAATAGATTAAGAGAAAAGAGAAGACGTCGATATTTTCTCGAACCAGCT